ATTAGGTTCAAAGGTCATCTGTCATTTTGTAAATATACACTGCCTACTGATTGATTAAGTGAATATTTGAGTTGTTATCAAATATTAAAATTAAAATATCTTCAGCTTTAACCAATGGCTATGAACTATGTCAAACGGTACTTTTTTACGGTCAGATCCTAGGGGAGGCATGCAGCTCAAGAGAATTCCACCTCCCTCAAATCATTCACTCATGTGGGATTAGAACATGTTGTACAGTATCTCACTTGGTTTTGAGGCCCCTTAGAACATGTGTACTATATGTCACCTGGTATTGTGGCCCCTTTCGTTGTGCTCCTTTCATTGTGTCCCCTTTCCTCTGCCTCTTTACTTTCGCCCCTTTCCTGTGTCTGTTCTAGATGCACATCATATCATTATCGAGTAAAATTTCAGTGTTTTGCAAAATGTTTATAATTTAATTTGTTTTATTTTCAGAATTGATTCAGGACTTGAGGTAGTTTGAAATAGTGTATCAAAACTATTAAAATTCACCTGTCCACAAATCACAATGCCAATCGCCACAAAGCCACCATACCACGAACCCGACTACCATGGTGCACCTGGGGCTGCCTTTTACAGGTGAGAATTTATTCATGTCTGCAACTACTAATTAACTCTGTGTAAAGTTAGTATTCTTGTAATATAAATACTAATTTCCTTTAGAGTATTGGGTTCATTCCTGCTAATACGTGTTGTATTGAAGTGTTACATTCATTCTCTACATATTAGCTTTACTGTATATTATTAGATCACAAATTTTAAAACGTTAAATTGCATTTGACAGTGGACGGGGACCAAGCATAAAACAGCATGACTATGGTCAGCCAATTAATGGATATACAAGAGATGGGCCGAGAATGAATGGTGCTGGTCCAGATCCACGCAGGATCAACGGTGTTGGTTCAGATCCACGTAGGATGATGAACGGTGGTGGTCCAGACCCGCGGCGGGTAAAGAGTGCAGATCCGCGTAGGATGAACAGTATGAGTCAAGGAAATGTTGCCAGACGGTCCAAAAGTGAAATGGTTCAACGAAACGCAGGAGCACGAATGAATGGCGGTGGAACGGAGCGTGCAATTGGTGGCGGTGTTTATGGTAAGAAAGCCAAAATGTTATTGCATCACTGCAAGTCAAAGATAAATTCTTAATATGATTTAAAAGATGTAAAATAGCATGGGGTAATTTTGATAGCTATTTACCCTTGGTTCAAATGGGTTTCCCACAGCTGGTTGGTT